TCCACAGTCCCTGAACGATAACCATTCAAAAAAAAAAATTGTTTCTAGATCATGGCAAAATGACCATCTTATCCCCCTTAGGCCCTTATCAAATTTCTATTAAAAATACAAAATTTAGGGCAAATTCGTCGTTTTACCATACAATTCCAAAATAAAATGAAACCATAGGGAGAAAAAAACAAAAAAAAATCCCAGAGGCGCCAAATTTAAAGCAAAATAAAGCCATATGGATAGAAAAACACAAAATTCTTTTAGGGACCATATCCGAAAAACAATATAGCACACGACCAAATTTGTAATTTACTAATTAAAAAAACAAAAGATCAATGCATTGGTGTCCAGGGGTAAAACAGTTCGAAAAAGGAAAAGCAAACCAGGGGCAAACAAAATAAAATTCAATGCATTTCAATTTTGATCAAAATGAAAAATATTAAGTATCATTTTTTTTGTTCTTTTTTACTGTGGTATAGTGGAAATTACAGGTTCAGTTCATACCTATGATTTCATTTTGTTGTGGTTTTGGTCTCCCAGTAGTTATAAATCAAATGTTAAACCCCTGTCAAATGACTATTTTGCCCTCATTTTAAGTTCTGATTTCTAAAGTTGTTAGTTGGAGGGAACTAAAACCACAACAAAATGAAGTCACAAGAATGACCCATGTCAAAACTGTACTAAACTGTAAAACAGTGACTTGTCTAACAATTTTGCCTTTTCTAATAAGAAATAAGTTTTTTTTGGGGAAATAAGTAAAATAAAAATAATTAAATAATAATTTATAATGAGTTTTAAAGATATTGTTGTTAAATAATCAAAAGAGAATAAACAAAAAAGACCTTAAGTGAAAAAAGAGAATAATAATTTTTTTCTGTAACCAGAGCCTTAGCCTTACAGGAACTAAACTTAGAGTTAATACAAAAGTAAACTTTTAAATTCTTAAACTAAACTTAGAGTTAGTACAAAAGCAAAAGACTAAGCAGTCTTTGACAAATAATTATTCTTCCAAACTAATACATCTTTTTCATGTATTTTTACAAGAGCATATATCTGTTATCTGTTAATTGATAATATATCAAGTAAATGAAACCTTGAAATTTTTTTTTGTAGTTATCAGACTTAAAAACAACTCCATGACCAAAAGGTACATTTCAATTTTATTCTTGTGAAATTATACCTCCTTATTGATAGAACAAGCATACAGGAACCTATAAAACAATCAAACAACTAAAATATATAACAAATCTAAAACCAAATAAATATTTGACCAAACTATTATAAAAATTAAGTGTAGAATGTGAAGAAGGGACGTGTAAGAGGATAAAAAATAATCACACCTGATATAGAAAGAAGAAAATAGAGGAGAACAGAGGCTCAACAGTTGCTTCTCTCTTGAACTCTGGGTAAAGCAGGACCGAAACTTCTTCACTCCCACCTCCTATTTAAAAAATATGTAAGGCACATAAAACATAAAAAAAAAGAAGCAAAACACTTTATCCTAAACTACATTTTGGTTACAAGTTTAATTGCTTAGCCCATATACAACTGTTAAAAAAGAAACAACCCCTCTATTGGACTTAGTTTACTTAATATGTTGTTACATTTTTTTATTGTAATTTTGTTTTATTTTGATATACACATAACACATGAATGTGATTGATTTTGTTTCAGCCACCAAAAAATTAGGCTAAAAAGATACAAGATGAATGGATGATTCTTGAGAAAGACTTGTCTGGTAAGCATGTGTCAGAAATTATTAATAGTTAGAATTTAGAAAGAGAATTGAAAATAGACACAATATTTGTAAGGGCATATGAATCAAGGATGGATCTTTGAAAATAGACACATATGAATTTAGAAAGAGAAATTAAGAGTTGTGATTATTGGAGCAGAGGGCACCCCATATCATGGTGGCCAACAGGAGAGGTGGATCCCTGGTACCTCAACCATGCTCCATACAGGGTCTCAATGAGCACTCCAGTGGCTCCAAAACTCAAAGTCACTCCAGTATATTTCTTCACATTCTTGAGCTTAAAGAGCTTGAAGCTAAAATGGCTAACACAACTGAATGGGAACTAAGATCAGCACAAGAAAGACAGGAGAGAACCTTATGAAACTATGTGCCCTAATGATGTTTGTCTTTTCTCCCTCTCTCTATATATATATCCTTTCAAATATATTTGTAGGATATGCAGATATGAGAGTTTATCTGAATCAAACCTAATGATGGATATATCTATATTCACAATAATGCAACAAGGAATAGCAACAAGGATGGACTTTACTCTGTTCTTCTTAGGGATTATAACTCACATGATGTTGCTGCTTGTATGAATCGCTTAGCAAAACAGGGAATAGCAACAAGGATAGACTTTATGATGCAGTGCTCGATGGATAGGAAACCATGGATTCTCAGTAGGAATTGATGATGTGCAACCTGGGGATAATTTGAATGAAAACACAAATAGAATTATTTGTCAAGGGAATAAAAAATGTGATAATTTCATATTGGATTTTCATAAAGGAAAGATTAAGTTACAACTTGATTGTAATGATGCTCAGACCCTTGAAGCTGAGATCACAAGTGTACTAAATAAGATCAGAGATGAAACTGGAAAGGTAATAATAGATTAATATCTATCTCCATGTTTTTTTTAATCAACTAAATGAATAATGAATTTACATAAACAGGTATGTATGGAAAAACTACATTGGAGAAACAACCCTTTAATTATGTCTCAATGTGGGTCCAAAGGTTCTCCAATCAACATAAGTCAAATGATTGCATGTGTTGGTCAACAATCAGTAGGATGTCAACGAGCTCCAAACGGATTCATAGAGAGAAGTCTCCCCCATTTTCAAAGAATGTCAAAAACCCCTGATGTATGTTTTACATTTTTACCCTTCATACATTTAACTATCATCTTTCTTTCTTTTATATTTATCTTTTTTTTTCTTTAATTCAGGCAAAAGGGTTTGTACCAAATTCTTTTTACAGTGGTTTAACAGCTACTAAGTTTTTCTTCCACACCATGGGAGGACGAGAAGGTGTTGTGGACACAGCGGTAATTTCTCTTAAAAAATGAAGTTTTAAAAATAATAAGTAAAAGGGTATTATGGTACTTTTTTAATGTGTCACACACATGTGAAAACAGCTGACACGGGTTACATGTCTAGAAAACTTATCAAAGGATTGGAGGATTTATCAGTTTACTATGATAACACAGTAAGAGATGCAAGTGCATGTATTGTTCAGTTTACATATGGTGGTGATGGAAGAGATCCTTCCAATGAATCATCCCCTGGATATAGTATATAACATATCTAGTGGAAGGAAATATATATATTTAAATTTTAAATCAATATTCAATACCATGTAAAATATATGAAATGTACAAAAAATTTCATCTACCTTTTCTGCATTTGCTTGGGTTTCACATGCTTTAGTGTGGTCTCCAGAGTTAAAAGCAGATATATCAAAATCTAAAGGTGGAACTTTATTGTCCCATAAACGAAGGTTAATTGTAGTTTTTGTTTTGTATCCTGGAATTGGAATATCATTTGCAACTGCAACTATATCTTCTCCCCCTATCCAACGTTTTTTTCCATCAAAACCTTTTACAACTTTTCCATAGAATTTAATGGGATATGAGATGTCATTTCTCACAATCTCCCATGGATTTCTCATCTATAATCACAAAATTAAATTTAAATCTAGTTTTAATGATTGCCTATGAAACTGGTGCTGTTGGGCTTGTTACAGAGCTTGTGGATGCATGTACAGAGATGACAGTAGAGCTTCAGGGTGAAGCTTTGATGCACAAAACTTATGCTACCAGGCTTATATATGACTAACGCAACCAATCAAGCCCTATATCAAGTTCTAATTCTAAGTATCTATTCTAATATAGATGCAATCGACATAAGAGGAATGACGATTGAAAAAGGAAAAAAAAAATGGAGAAATTAAACCCTAACATAATATATTGTACAATTGAACCAAACCTAACCTAATATATGACTAAAGCAAACAAAATCAAGAGATTTACCTGAATCAGAAGTTAACGAAGAATAATTTTAGACTTTAAAAATGTGGAGGCTGTCGGAATCGGAAGCTGCAATGGTCCATGGTGTCGTCATCTGTTTGAACGGAGAGGGTGAGATTAGGTTAAGCTGCAACTCGAGAGTCATGCGTGTTCAGTTGGAGTGATAAAGAAGATTTGGGAGGGAAGGAAACTTACACAAACTTTGTGAAACTGGAATTGATTCGCCAATTTCAACGAGAGATCGTCAATTAAAAAAACATAACGTGTGTATGCTCCGTCGGCATTCTCTCGCTAAACACATACCAGATGGCAAAAAGTCGACGATTTTTTTCCCTCGTTGAACCCTCGCCAAATGCCTTCGTTGTCCACCGATTACCGAGGAATAAGGGTGCGTCGATAAATACTTGTAAGATCTGTAGCTTATCCCTCGCTAAACCCTCTCTAATATGTTATATATTGAATAAATAAAATATTTGTTTAAACCATCGCAGATCTCTCGTAATTCCCTCTCCATAAGCCAAAATTTTTCTACAGAATAAATTCCTCTTTAAATCCGTAGCTGAAACTCAAGTTTCTAATAGTGATTTATCTACAAATAAATGCAACAGTACTTAACTTTTATCAATATAATCGTCAAAATCCAATTTACAAACAGTTTGCACAACAAGAAAAATGCTAGTTTCTTATTAATTGATAAAGTCATGTTTTAATTTTTTTTTTTATTTTCACAACAAAACAAAAAAGAATTTTCCTTATCAATTTACGTATACATAAATAGATAAATATTTGATAATAAATTAAAACACGACCTAATAAATTAATACAAATTCCATTTCATTACATAATTTGATAAAAACATATCATTTTTTTTCACATAAACATAAAAAAAAATAATAAATAAATAAAATAAAATAAAAGAGGTATATATTGGTTTATGAAAGAACCGACCACCAACCGCTGATCAACCAATAACCCGCGGGTGGAATGTCGCTTTCCTCTGCCTCTCTTCTCCAATCCACTTTCCTCAACAAACAATTTCAAACATTCACTTTACACTTTACACTCTTTACTTCCCACCTTTTTCTCTTAATTTCTTCATAGTCTTTTTGGTGGTCAATCCTGAAAAGTATGATGAAAACCTCAAAAAGGAGTAAACAGAAAGCAAGTCAAGAGATTGAAGTCGCCATTGATTGGGAAGTAAGACCTGGAGGTATGCTTGTACAGAAGAGAGTTGTCGGGTCGGATCCTGGCTGTGTCACTGCCCCAATCATCAAATTCAAAGTCTCTCATGAATCTTATCATCATCATATATCCTTACCCTCTCACTCAACTTTTGGTAACCCTCTGCTTTCTTTCTTCTTCATTCATTTGTTTGGATCAACGATGTCATCTTTAAGTAATCTTGAATTAGGGTTGCTAATCTTTCATGTTATTTTTTAATTAAAAACGTGATGTTTAAAAAATCTTGAATTTGGGTTATTGATGTTGGTTTTTGATCATTATTCATTTAGCTCTTTTCCCATGTTTTGGTTTGATGTTGAGTTGACTTTTCTATATCTTACTAAGCCTATGAATCTTGATTATGCTACATGTTATAACATAGTGATTATGTTGACTGTTTGACTTTCAAGATCATTATTCGTTCTGTTTTGTATTACTTTGCAACTTGCTTGATCCACAAACACATTCATTATTGGTTTTATTGTTATGTTCCTTTCTTTGACTTGTTTATAGTCAAACTGAGTTAGTAGGGGTCCCCTCATAATCCAAAAAACATAGGTTACATGATCTAAAGTTCAAATTCTGATAGATGTGGTTTTATTTTTGAAATGATCTTTGAATAATTATATTGTATCCTAATATATGATTATATTGAAGGTGATCTCAAAAAGATTCTTGCACGTGAGACGAATCTAGAAGCCAAAGATCAAAGACTATTGTTTAGAGGGAAAGAGAAGGGGGATGATGAACATTTAGACATGGCTGGTGTAAAAGACATGTCAAAAGTAATCTTGTTAGAGGATCCTGCTAGCAAAGAGAAAAAGCTTGTTGACAAAAACAAGAATCATGGTAATTTACAAGCATATGATGCGGTCATGAAAGTGAGAAGTGAGGTGGATAAGCTCTCAGACAAGGTAAAACTGTAATTAAATGTATGTAACAGGGGTAAAACTGGAAAGGTTTTCAGAATATTTGTGTGTGCTTGTATGTAGGTTGCAGGATTGGAAACATCAGCTAAAAATGGGATCAAGGTTGTTGAGAAGGAAGTTGAAGTTTTGACAGAGTTACTTATGAAGGAATTGCTTAAACTGGATGGGATTGAGGCCGAAGGAGAAGCAAAAACACAGAGGAAAATCGAGGTTGACTTTAAACAAGGCAAACGAATTACAATTCATGTTGAAAGTTGGATTTTTTAAGAATTTCTTTTGTGATGTTTTTGATAGGTTCGTCGTGTTCAGGGGTTTGTGGACATTCTTGATAGTCTAAAGTTGATCAAGAGTAAAAACCATTCAGACAAAAGGGTTGCAGCTGTTACAATAACAAAGAAATGGGAAACTTTTGAGTCAGGAATTGGAAGCCATGTTAATCAAACTTCAACGAAAATAACAAAGGATTGGGAGCAGTTTGATTGAATGTAAATTGGTGTTTGCTTACATGAGGGTTGAATCCGATTCCATGATTACTGTTGGAAGTTGTACAGAGTATTCATTGGATCTCAGGGATGATGTTGTTGGAATAAAGCTTGCATGAACTTCATTTATTGTTCATTGAGACTCGTTTTAAGTCTAACAAGATGCTTCGGATTTGATAGAGAATAAAAGTGTGGATTTGGTTGGTGTTGTAAATCTGTGGAACTATGGAAGTTCTTATTTAATGTTTGACTGAAGCGCATTTGATTTGGAATGGATACAAAAATAAAAAATGTTTGACTGAAGTGCATTTGATTTGAATGGATACAAAAGTAAAAAATAAAAAATAAAAAAAATGACGGCTGTGGGATTTGAACCCACGCCCTTTCGGACCAGAGCCTAAATCTGGCGCCTTAGACCACTCGGCCAAACCGTCTTATTTGTTATAGTGTTAATGTTTAGTAATATGTATTGTAATATTATTCTGTTATTGTTTAAAAACATATCAGCAAATTATAGTTTGTTTTAGAAGGCAAAAAAATATGACTGGTTAGATGTTTGAAATAAAATTGTATGAGTCTTTTGATGATGTAGACTATACCATTACCATCCTCCACATCTTTTGAGGTCATAAAGACTCATATATATTTAAAACATTTATCATGAGGTAATGAGAAATTACCTTTTAGTTAATTTTAACGAAAAAGCTATATCCAAGTCCTACAAGATAAAAAGGAGGTAAGATGTAAGGAAACTGCTATCCGAATCAATGAGATTGTTATTATAGATTACCCTCGACATTAAAATATTAACAAATAAACAGATAAGGAGAACAATAAAGTTGAAAGTAAGCGGGTAAATAATATATAGATTCTCAAACAATGAGAACATATACAAACAATAAAGTAAGAAACAAACACAACAACCCAAACTAAAAATATAGAATGACAACTATTCATATACTACTCAACTACCCTGATTTTAAACCTTCACACCCTCTTATCTAAGATAAAGTCATATGATTGATAAGAACTATCTCGTCCTAATGTCACGTGTCGTATCAATCCAACACAGCTCTACCACGATATCCTTATTTCCATGACCTTCATCTTTCATGTGTGCCTGTTCTTAATCAACAACATTCATATCCTTAGCAATATATCCGAAGTTCCTAACACGTCTCATTTAGTATTGAATTGACATGCCAAAATTTATTTCATTTTTTTAGTTTATAAATAATCGGTACACAATAAATATTTAAATAATGATCTGTCTTTTATTCGAAGAATTTAGCCATAACCAAATTGAACAGTTTATAAACCCATTTACCCATAACCATTTAAACCCATTTTGGCATTTTGCCAAGTCTAATCATCAAGTTGATATTCTATATTCTTTAATATATGTCTTTTAGCATGAAAACAACCCAAAGACTCTACTAGCCAAGCAACAGTGAGTTGCCATCCCCAATTGATTATTGAAACAAAAAGACAATTTTATTTGGTGTCCCAACTCCCAAGAAACACACGTAATTAGTATGTCCATACAATATTAAATATTTCACCAAAATTTAAATCAGGATTTCAAGAAAACCAAAAAAAGAAAACACAGATGGACAACACAATCCATGAAGTCTTCCTATCACCCGCAATGGCTCCAATTACTCCATGTTCTCTTCTTTCACATAATCGACGTTATGCTGTTGATGGCGAGATCATGGCGTTTGTTGTAATTATTGTTTTCTCAATCTTCATCTTCTTCCTTATTATCGCCCCTCATCTCATGCAGCTAAGAAGAAATAGCAGAAGTTTTGCAACAGTTGACCAGAATCATGGTGATGTGTACCAAAGGAACCGGAATCATGAAGATATCGTTTGATTTCCAGAGATTTGCACACACACACACACACACACGAGAGAGAGAGAGAGAGAGAGAGAGAGAGAGAGAGAGAATTGGAAAGAATGCTAGAAGGAGCTGGGTGAGGATGACATAGATAGTAGGTTGTAGAAACTTAAAATTAGGGTAGTAGAATAGAAACTAGTCTAGGTATTAGCTCCATTTCCACTTTTTTGTGCCTTTTACAATCTTACTATATTGTCGCCTCTTTCAATTTTATTGTTAGTAGTAGTATATGCTTACTGATATTGTTACTATCTGTTGGCGTTGTGTCCGTACAATATTGTCCAGCTTCATTTGCACGTATTTACTTTTACTTGTATTGTTTGTATATGTTTTTTTTTTTTTTTTTCCTTTAGTCGTACACAACTCTTTATTCTTCATTATGGGGTGACATTAATTTTATATGTAGGAAATCACATACCAATGTATGTCTTTTTCTATATGCAAAGGTTATCAATGTCGGTTATAGGTTGTCTATATTTCAGTCAACCAAAATCATGGTAATGTGTTCTTTATTTCCGATTCCTGTTATCATCTGTTACTTGTCATGTACTATATTGAAGAAAGTAAAAAATTATAATTATTACTTGTTTTCCAAGATTTTAACCATCATTTTTATTTGTATATACGATTATTTGTTTAAGCATTCAAAGTACAAGGTTGTAACAGAAAAAAATGAAAGTAGGATGTTACAATACAATAAACAATTAAATGAAAGTACATTGATATTTCTTGCATTTAGTCCTAAAACTAATAACAGGGTAAGTAAAGTCAACCATATCAGAAAACTAAAGTTCCCAGGAAGAAAGATGTGAGTGGCACCATGAGATTGTCATCAAATTTGGTGCTTATAGGGTGGGATTCTATCAATGCACTAGCAATTGAAACAATCAAGAACCCCAATATCATTTCCCAACTTTCTTCAAAGTAGCCAAACATGGAGAAATAATGCATGTACCTATCACCAACGTTTTGTTAGAATTATAAAAATAAAATAAAAAAGACTATTTTGCCCTTGTGCATAAAGATTACCCAAGAGACACAATGAAACCGGAAGCTGCCATGGCAATGCTTCCTGCAAAAGATTTGTCTTTGTTATAAGGGATCTTTTTCTTTCCAAATCGCCTTCCAACAATGTCAGCCAAACCTGGATCAAGGATTTGAAGATTTTTTTTTTCAAATAATGTTCATAGCATTTTTGTAAAATCTGTAAATGGCATTTCAATATCACAAAAGGGTCAATAATCAAATACCATCTCCAGCACAAAGATTACAAATTGCAGCAATTGCAATGGGGGATGTTCTCCAGTAGATTATTGAAGACAAAGCGATGGTAGAAGCGTAGTATAATGGTCCCTTAATTAGTTCTCTGATTCAATACTTGAATTGTTAAATATAAGTTTTTGAAATATATAAAATATGAAAGGGTGAGAGAAAAATAACAGTTTTTATAATAAACCTGTAGTCTCCATATCTGCTCATAGATTTTACAGTTGCCTCATCTTTCCATATACCAAGTCCTATGAGAAGCACTTTCACTATGTTGACCCCAGGAATAAGAGCTGCTATAACTGCCCCTTGACGACCTGAACTGAAAAAGTTTAAGAGGAACTAGATGGTCATGAAGAAAATGACAAATATGCCCTTTTTGTCATGTATAATTACCTGAAGAGAGGCCAGCATAACATGAATGCCAGCCCAATCGTTGTATGTACAAGCTTCCTATTTAGTTTCTGAATAAGAGAGAATATAACTTCAAAAAGCGTTAATTTTTATAAATGAATAGCTTTAAGACATTCAAGATTCTCCTATAACCAAAGTTGAATGAACACAAGTGTATTATGCCAGATTTTTTAAAGCAACATTTTGATTTTTCATGCCAAAAACTATCATTTTTCAAATGTAAAATGGATTTTTGTTGTAGAAATGTAGTTGGCGTTTTTGGCAATTTTTTTGGATTGATGTTGATATGAAACGTAACACATTGTATGGCATTCAGGATCAAAATGGCGCCCTCTGTCCACCACAGATAGAGCAGAACTCAAGAACTGAAATAAATAATGCCCTGACAAAGAAAACATTTTCTTTAAGCTAATTCAATTTCCTAGTTTCCCTATATTTCACAAAACTGCATAAACAATACATTTACTACATAACAAATTAGGCAAATTCAGAGATATTGAAGTGCACCCACCTGGTCAAAAACGCCTCTCCTTGCAGTTTCTTCATAAATTCGAAGTATAGATAGTGCAAAGCAGCCGGAGAAAACCATGGCGAAAATATCCCCGACGAGGGGATTCTCCGGGAAGAACAAAGGTCCAGCAGCTACAGCTGATCTTATTCTCCGAGGACCCACATTAGGATTTAACTTTTGGATGGAGAAATCGAGGCTAGATCGACCATTTAGAGTAGTAGAAGAAGAATTAGGAATGGCGGAAGAAGCAAAGGTGAAATATGTTGCTGTAAAACGCGAATCCGATTGGCGGAATCTCGGATCACGAAAAGAACACGACGAGAAAGGGTGAATGGCACAAAGAGAAGAAGCCATCGTCATTCAATCGCGATTTTGGGTGAGTAAATTATCAATTATCATACAATATGAACTTCGTATGAGGATTTCACAATTCGCTTCGAAGCTTGAGTTAAATGAGGACAAGAAATAGCAGTGACTTAGTATTATAATTCCAATTTAATCATGTTAAGTTCAGCGATGACAACCGGAATTTTGTTCTGGATTTGATCATAAACGTTAATTTAGTTTGGTGAAGGGGAATAGAATCGTTTAGTTTGGGGTGAAGGGGAATAAAATCGTACAGATTCGTTGATGATTCCAGATACGAAACCCTAACTTCAACGTCAGGTGAGTATCATACCATATTCACCACATTGCTACACTGTCATCCCATTATTTTTACTTTTTTTCTTTTTTTTAAATTGAATGTATTTTAATAAAAATGAAATTTTATAAAATTAAGAAAAAGAAAATATTTCATTAATTTAATTAAAACAATTACAATGAGAAAACGAATTCAACAAAACTGGTCGGGTTTGTTTTTGGTTACCTGTTTGGGTTCGGTTACCGATTCAGGATAGGGTTGTGTTTCCCGAACAAATTCAACATCCGGGATATATTCGGGATGCAGGAAAAAGTTTTGAAACATGTTTGGGCTTAGAGGTTGCCTGGGTAATAGTAAACTTGTTGGGGTCGGGGTGAAATCATGGATGGATCAAGTTGGGGTCGGTATACCGACGTATCCAACGGTTAAGCATTTGGACGCGATTTACCCCCTTACCTACCGCGGTAAGAATCTCGAGTGCGGTAAGAGGGGGTGGGGTGGGGGGTCGGAGTTGTGTTCATTGCACACTGCAGTGCCAAATCAACTACTGTAGTGTGTGGTAGAGGGTGCACCGACCAACCTTATTAGGATGTGTATTAGTTTATTAGCTGATAACTACGAGTCAATTTTTTTCATATCAATTTTTTGCAACCTCATTCTTCCTCCCATACTTGGTGAATGGGTGTTTGGAATTACTTTTTAAGCTCAAAGTTTTTTTTTTTTTTTTATAAAAGTTCATTTTGACTTTAGCTTTTGGGGAAAATGACTTATTAAGGTAATTAACTTTTCAGTTTGTGATCTGGGTAACTATCTTTTTTTAGTACACATCTAGGTAACAAACTTGTTGGAAGTGTTCACATCTAAGTTACATCCTACATGTCAATACTTTTAACAAGTTCGTTACCTAGATGTGTACAAAAAAAAAATAGTTACCCAAATATGAACAAAACGAAAAGTAAGAGTAAATTAAACGAATGGTCCCTATGGTTTAGGGGAATTTGTGTGTTTGGTCCCTAATTTATTTTTTTAACTCGGATGATCTCTACTGTTTGTTTTTGTTGCGCGTTTGGTCTCTGTCTTACATAAAAAGACTATTGTGCACTTATTAATTAAATTTTTTTAATTAATTTTCCTATTTATGTATTTATTCTTTATATATTTAAAAAAATAATAGAGCTCACATATCTGTATCTCCTCACCATCTCATCTCTCATCCTCCTCAACTTTTATTTATTTTCCATCTTTAGTGATATCGACGTCTTCACCATCCCTTCTTTTTTAGGTCCTTCAACTTCGTCGAATCAACACCACAACCCACTAAAGATGAAGAGACAATGAGTTATGGTGTTGGTTCGCCAGAGTTGAAAGACCAAAAAAAGAAGGATGGTGAAGACGTCGATGCCACTAAAGGTGGAAAAGAAATAGAAGTTGAGGAGGATGAGAGATGCGATGGTGACCGATGAGACCCAAATTAAATTTCTCAAATGTGGTTTCAGGTTTACGGTGAGGAGATACATATATGTGAGGTCTATTGATTTTTTTAAATATATAAAAAAATAAATACATAAATAAGAAAAATAATTAAAAAATAAATTAATAAGGGCACAATAGTCTATTTAGGTAAGACATGAACCAAACGTGCAACAAAAATGAACAGTATGGACCATCCGAGTTTAAAACATAAGTTAGGGACCAAAAACTCAAATTCCCCCAAACCACAGGGACCATTCGTCTAATTTACTCTTACTTTTCGTATTGTTTATATTTGTGAAACTATTTTTTGTACACATCTAGGTAGCGAACTTGTTGAAAGTGTTCACATCTAGGATGTAACCTGCTACAACAGGTCATAATGGTCATATGTGAACATTTCCAACAAGTTTGTTACCTAGATGTGTACAAAAAAAAGATAGTTACTCAGATGTGAACAAACCGAAAAATTAATTACCTTAATAAGTCATTTTCCCTAGTTTTTGAGGGGGAAAAAGTCAACAGTTGTTTTTAAAAAAAATGTTTGGCTTGCATTTATTGTCTTTTTAATGTACTTTACCTTTAAAAAATCTAAAAGTCACAAAAATACACAATTTCCTAACTTTTGAAAAAGCATATTTTTTGCTGGCAAAAAGTTACTTTGAAAATGACTTTTCTATTTCCCAAACATCTTTTTGATTTTTTTGACTTTTTGGAAAAGCTAAAATTCAAAAAATCATTTGAAAAACAATCTCAAACACCCTCTAAGATGTGTATTAGCTGATAAGTTTGAGTCAATTTTTTCATATCAATTTTTTGCAATCTCATTCTTCCTAAAATATCTTATTTGTTAGGCTTCTCGATATAGGTCCTCCACAACGTGGAGGATCCTATGCGGCTCTTAACGTCGTTAAAGGATTTGAAACACCACCCTCATGCCACGTTATATTAAGACGTGTTGAGGAGACAACGTAGCTTAACGGGAATTTATACAAACGACCTCATGATCGTTGGACTTAAACTGCGATTTAAAAAAAATACCTATAAATACCTATTAATCCCCTCATTTTTCGTCACACCGTTCTTTTCTTCTCTATATTTTATACAACTTCAAAACATTTTCATCCAAAAAATGGAGCAAAATTCAAACACCCCTCCAACAAACTCAAACCCACAACCAAACACAACATCTCATATCGGATTCACTGGATAGGAGAGTTATTAACCTATTAAACACCCAAAGTCTTCCGCAAATACTATACCAACAAACTTATTTCAATCTCACCTCACCTCTGGTGCAATTTCCTTCCCCATCGTACTTCCAACAAAACATTTGTGGTACTTCATCTCTGATACCAAATCTCCAAACAGAAATAACCCTACAACCACCGCCCATGCAACTAGTTGTATAATTTGTTACCGAAACGGAAGCCGAAAGTAGTAGGAGAGGGAAAGGGAAAGGGAAAACGGTTACCATGGAAAATCAAGACATTACATACTGATGGACGCCAATAGAGGAGTGCGCTTTAGCGAAATCATGGTGTGGGACATCGCAAAATGATACTAAAGAAAATGGTATGAAGAAACACGCTTTTTTTGGGAAGCGATGCTTGTTAATTTCACGCTTCGTTGAAGAAAAAAAATATGTACCGCAATACCGATATGCTAAGTAGTAAATGGCGAGAATTGAACAAGAGGTGCACCAAATTCAACTTGATCTACAACAAGCTATATTTGGAAAAGGTGAGCGGTTGCAATGACTTTGATTTGTTTAAAACCGCAAAAAAAAAACGCAATATCGAGTCGAGATGGGTCACACGTTCGAATTTGAGAGACCATGGGAGATGTTGAGAAGAGATCCAAATGGGACTCAATGTCCAAAATCCGTGGATGTGCAATCAAAGAGGTCTCGAAATTTGAGTTTGATCGACGTTTCCGACACATGGACTCACATCGACCACAACGTCGACACCGATGAGATTACGCCCAACATTGAAGATATCTCTCCTTCACGACGACCGGTAGAACGCGACAAAGTGAAGCACACAACAAAACGTGTGGAGGAAGTTGATAGAACAACAAAGCATATGGCGGAAATTGAAGCGAAGTTCCAGGAACACAATATACTTCAACAAGATACAAAATGCATTGAAACGTGAGCACTTGGAAATACTTCGATGACACGAAACCGTTGAGCGGCAATGATAAAAGCAAGAAGAACTCATGAATGACTTGGAAATTTTTAGGACAACCACCGAAGGTTTGGCGCCCGTAGATCTCGTGCAGGCATTAAAGGGGAAGACTCGTGTAAAAATTAAGGGCGGGATTTAAATTATTATGATCGTTGTATGTTTTTAGTTTATTGTAACTTTTTTGTGTGGGCTTGTAATGTTTTCATTTTCTTTTTAAATGTTAAGTTTTTATTTAGACAAAACTATAAAAATGGTGCTTGTGGTATGCATTTTTTCCAAGTTTTAGTCTAAATCCTGACTTTTTTGGTTTCGTGGTCCTTTTGGCCATGTTTCTATATGGATTTTGTAACGCCAAGTTCCAAGTAAATACCATCTTTGAGTTTTGGCAATTCAAGTCTTCAATAATGAATTTTGTGATGACCACGATGTGGCAAAGGATGCATCACGACGTGGTCAAGGCCAGATGAAACATGCATTTATTTGGGTCCCCACGACATGACATGATGTTAACCGCGACGTGGTGACGGCCAGGTCGCAAAACCCTAATTTTCGATCTTTAAGCCCTATTTAAAGAATATGATGGCTAGGGTTTGCACACCCTCGACCTCCACCACCTCCCTTTCGAACTAGAAGCACCCATAGCCACATTTGTTGAGTTTTTGAAGTTTTGTGGTGATTTTTGGTGAGAAAAAGAATAAGGCATCCATTATGTGAAGATCCGTGAAGAACCAACAAACAAGCCCCTCCTCCACTTTCTAGCTCATCTTCTGGACCATTGTGAGTCTTCAAGTTCCAACCTTTATGTTTCATGCTTCTAGATCTAGGTTTCTTTGTATTTTTCTTCAAGATTGGTATAGTTTTAGTGGTTGGACTCCATAAAGTTGGCAACTTTATGGATCCTTGGAGTCCACTTGTGGACATATGTTCCAGATCTGAAGTTTAATAGACTCTTGATGTTATGCATGGAGTTTTGGGTCTCATTTCCTTTATTTTTTACCTAGATTGGGCTCAAGGCATGCATTAGACATGCATGCCTAAAAAGCACCGATTTTTATGACTCATTAGGTGAGAGAAAGCTTTCTGGAAAGTATGGATTTGTAGCTTGAAGGATTAAGATCTTAATGCATTAAACTGGCCAGATCAGTTCCCACGACATGGAGATTTATCTCCCACAATGTGGCGTTAGGTGGTCTTCACGACTGTACTGTCATGAGGTCACCACGACGTGGAAAATGATTGGCCACGGTGTGGAGACTGACTGTTGGACTTTTAACCGTTGACTTTTGACTTTTTGACCATGTTTGACTTTAAGTCAATTTGGGGGATTTGGGTTGTAG